GGCAAAACTCCGTCTCAAAAAAAAAAAAAAAAAAAAAAAGTTGAACTCACAGAAGTAGACAGCAGAATGATAGATACCAGAGCCTGGAGAAGGAGCAATGAGGATATACCACTCAAAGAGTATAAATTTTCAGATAGAGAGATGGAAGAAATTTTTAGATCAATTAAACAACTGTCAATAATAATGTATTATATTTTAAAATAACTTTCAAGTGTCTCACCACAAAAAATAAGATGATATGTTATTCAGCTGCATTAAATCACTCTATACTGTACACACATTTCAAAATATCACACTGTACCCCATAAATGTATGCAAGTATAACTGTCAATTACAATATTAATTTTCAAACAATTATTTAGGAATGTTTATTAATATTCCCCTTGGTTTGTCAAAAGATGCCAAGTAAGGTTGTGTGTAGAGTAGCAAGCCAAACTCATTTGAGATACTGATGTCCTTCCACTCCCATTATAAAATCCCTTTCCTAAGCCTTAACACCCTCTGAATGCCAGTGGAGCTATGGACTTCTTGCTCTGGTTAGTAGCTCTTGCAATGTCATTAATAATTAAAGAAACAGCTTATTTAGCTTAAGGATTAATCTACCCCAAAAGTATTTCTATTACAAATATATTAATCAACAAAACCAAGTAATAATATTTTACTAAGCACTACGGGCAAGACAACTGCGTGTGAATGTGTGTGTATATGTGTGTATTCAAAAGGACCCCTGGATGTCCAGGGAGCCTTTCTTGATGCATAAGTCATCACTCAGGATTTCTCTAAGTGAAATACAAGGAAGTATTTTCATTTCCATGGCAATGACTTTGCAATATGCTGTAAATTCTATCATCTTCATTGAAAATAAATCAGCTATCAAAAGCTATGGGAAGTCCTCCAGAGAGGAAACCTATTAACTTTGTTTAGGCAAATATCCTCCAAATTTATTTGAACCACAAAATCTTTTACTTCCTTAACAACTATTAATGTCGAACTTCTCAAAGTGCTGCAGTTTATGCCTTTTCCCATTTATATCAGATCTGTTAACTCTAAGAATCACTGTTAATATTGAAAAATCAACAAATCTGGATGGAAGTTACAACATAAATACAACCTATTTTTATTTGTCACTTAATGATTCATATTTACAAACACCTCTAACAACTAATAACTTTAAATAACTATACTTTTTATTATTTTTAGAAACACATGACAAGTGACAACAGGTTGATAACTGGTTTTTATGCAAAAGCAACCTCCAAATACCACAACACTGAAAAGTATTCAGCATATTTTCTTATACTTCTTACCTTTAGTTATCTGTAATTATAAATGCTCAGAATTATAAACCTAATTGCTCATGAAGTATCAAGAAAAGTTAAACCTAATTGCTCTTGAAGTATCAAGAAAAGTTTAAAAGAGTGTTTGATGAAAATTCACTTATAAAAAATTCATTATCTTTGAATGTTGTAAAAACTCAGGGTCATTAAAACAAATTTTCAGGTAAACAAACATCCCATGCCCTAATTTGGATATATGTAGTTTACTGCTAAAAGAAAGAAAGAAAGAAGAGACAGAGAGAGAGAAAAGGAAAGAAAGAGAAAGAGAAAGAAAAAGAAGGAAGAAAAAGAAAAGGGATAGAGGGAAGCTGAGTATTAAATAATTTTCATGTACACTATGACAAATTTTTTGCAATGTATAGCAGGAGTCACATTAGGAGTTGGAAGTCCTAACAGAAACAAGAATAGAAGGGGAAAAACAACCTAACCAGACATTAAAAAAAAAAAAAAAACCTAGCTAGTCATTACATACAGTTCATCTCTGTATGTAAAAAGAAAAAAAAATAAATATGATTAGCAAGTTTTCTAAATAATTCCATCGTATTTAGGATAAAATAATACTAATTGAAGCCAACAAGTTTAGATTGAGAACTATAATCAGGGCTATACTTTCCATTTACACTAATCTATCATATTTCATAGGTTCAAAGTTCAATGTACATATTAGTTTGCTAAATTGAGTGATTTTCCATTTGAGCTTAACTTAAAATAGCCCTTAATTGATCACCTGTGTGCCTTCTCATTTCTGAAAAGGTTTCAATTAGAGATATATTTTTGGCCAAATGCAGTGGCTCAGGCCTGTAAACCCAGCTACTCCAGAGACTGAGGCAGAAGAATCACTTGAACCTGGGAGGCGGAGATTGCACTGAGGTGAGATTGCGCCACTGCACTCCAGCCTGGGTGACAGCAAGACACTGTCTCAAAAAAAAAAAAGATACATTTTGACAAAATGCAAAACTGAAAAGTTTTATATGAACATTTAACATTACCATTCTCATTATGTATCCATGTACTTAGTATCCTCACCTCGGTTTAAAAAAAAAAAACTAAAAATAGTATGCTGATGTTATTAGCTACAAAGAAAATTAATGAGGTATTCCATACTGAATCACAAAAAGCACACAATTTGGATTAAGATGACCTAAATGTGATTCCTGTCTCTTCCACTTTTTATATAACTTTAAACAAGCTATTTTAACTTTCCCAATCTGTTTTATCACTGGTTAATGGGGATAATATCTCTGACCTCACTGCAGAGATGTAAAGAAACCAAGCATATAGTACAATTCACCACTTTCTGAGCACAGTAAATGCTGAGCATGACTATCATAAAGACAGGGGAATCTTTCATAGTAGCTCATCAGTACACATTTTGAGACCTAACATAAATTAAATCACATCTCCTAAAAGCTGCTGATCTAAGTCAGCAATGTCTAGAAGTAATAAAAACGAAGTCCCATACTAATTTTTAGTAGCCAATATTGAGTGAAATTTTATATCTAAAATACATCAAAATAGGACTATTTTACGAGGCATAGAAGCCTTGTTTAAAAAACGAAAAGGAAAAAAAGCTAAGGTAAAGCAAAAAATAATAATTTTCAGTTTACTGACAATATTCAGACAAGGAAGTATAATAGTATGTTTTAAAATCTGTCAAGAGAGCTGAAAACTTCTTGAAAGGCAGCTGAGCAAAATGGTCAGAGCTCTCTGAGAGTTAGGAGATGAGATTATAGTTTCAACTGTCACTAATATTTAATAATTGACCTTGGACAAGGGTCTCTGGGCTTCAGTTTCCTAATCTTTAAACGACTACTAAAACCTATAGCGAAAACTTAAGTTCAATTTAATCTGGGCCTTACTTTGGAGAGGCAATCTAGAGAAGAAGTTAATAGAATGGGCTAGGTAGCAACTGCCAAGGTTGGAATCCTGGTTTTGCCACTTAGAAGCTGTGAAGTGTTAACACAAAAAGCACTGAAGTACAGTTTACTTAATACTATCACTGATTTACTGCTTAAAATATTTCTCTAAAACACAAAATTGCATTAAAATACAGAAGCTAGGAAAGTTGTGTCTTTCCAAATCATTTTACTGGCAGACAAAGGAGCAGTTCATTTTAAAGTATTAAAACTCTAAAACATGCTAACATAAGCCAAGTTTAATCAAAAGATCATCTCATACAATATTACACATTAGAGACTAAACACTTATTATAAGGCTAATTGTTCCCATCACAATATCACACTTACGGTAAAAATGGAACTTCTGCTACTTGTTAAGTCTTTTTTCTAATCTATTACTGCTAATCACAACACAAGCTTATAATATAACCATAATCTCCCAAGAATGAAATTAACTCCAAGAACGAAAAATCTGTATAATTTAGAAATATAAAGTGAACTTCAAACAACTAAAAATACGTGGTGCAGAAGTTACAATCAATCAGTATTTACTATATGCCAGGCTCTGTGCTTAGATTAGGTACAAACAGCAAAGTATAAAGTTCCTCAAACTTAAGTTACAAGGACTTGAAATTTCAGGCAAGTGCATGCCTTATCATCACTTGCCACAAAATAAAAGCCACTCACCTACAAATGTTTTTATTTCCTTTTTGGCCCACGTAGGAATAGTGCCCAGTGCCCACTAAAACTGTTTCGTATTCTCAGTTCAGCCCACAAAAATGCCCAAACCAGTCAGTTCCTCACGTCAGGATCCTCACAGTACTTAAAAGTGAATGGCTTCGAAAAAGGTATTTCATCAAATCACAAGCTTCCGTATTTTAAGTTCAGTGACACCTACACCTGCAGATACTGCTACACATAACTGGGCTAACCTAAGTCAAGTACCTAGTTGCACCAATTTAGTTCTTCCCTTGAAAGTGCTGCCAGTAAAGGCTAACTCTACTTCTTCAAAAAGTCGGCTTTTTGAAATGCCCATTAGGCACAGAAAAGGGAAATTGATTGGTTCGTCATAGTTGCCCTACTTCCATTTCAGGTCCAAGGAAAAAAACTATTCCACAGAGAGTAGCAAGGGGGCCACACGCAAATCCAGGAGGCAGATGCTAAACCCAACTTCGTCGATGACCACGATTTAAGCTACAGGTGACGGGTGTGGGGGAGGGGGGTGACACGACTGAGCCATCCAAGTGTAGCCTGAGATAACAAGTCCACTTCAAGAAGCAGGCAAAGTAGGGAGTGGGAAACACACCGCTCGGGCCGAGCAACAACCTCGGGATGCTGACGGACCTCGGAGGCAGAGGGCCCCGGAGCCCAGGGACCGGAGAAAGGAGACCTCGGGCAAACCTTAGAACAAGAACCAGCTGTAACGGGGGGAGGCCAACGCTGCCACGGAGTAGCGTGTAAGGGGACACCAAGAAGGGAGCGATGAGTTAGAAGGGAGCGACAGCAGGAGGGAGACCAGTGCCAGGGGCGAGTGGCGAGTGGCAACTGCGAAAGGCGAGGCACCGGCAGCCGGAGGTGGTGGGACTCTGTTGAGTCAGCACGGCTCCTACTCCGGGGGCACTTGTAGGATCCCCGCTGCTCCTCGGGCCCCGGGGCCCGCGGCGTAGGGTCAGGCCCACCTTCCGGAGAGATGATGTTCTCTGACGGGCTGGCGTCGGCCCCTTCCCCATTTCACAGGTAAACACTGGCCACCATCGCCGCTTACCTCAGTTAACATTATTACACCCCGGGGAAGTGAGGTCCTCCCTAGCCTCGCCTCATGGCAACAGCCGTGGCAGCAGCGAAAACTGCTCGGGCCGCCGCCAACGGCGGCAACTGCTCCTTCAGTCCTCTCCCGGGCGGCGGCTTTACTCGGCTCCGCTGGCTTCCCCCCGGCCCGGTCGCTCGCGACGGACGCGCCGCCATCTTGGAAGAGCGACGTCCGCGTCTCCCTGTAACGTGCGCTCCCATTGGCGGGCGCAGGGGCTGCCAGCGTCTCGTGACCGTCTCCATAGCGCCGGCGCGCGGAGAAGGGGAGGCGGGCTCTAGGCTGTCGGCTCCGCGCTGGCGGGGAGGACCCGGGGACTGGGCGCTTGGGCCAACCTGGGACCCCTGGGAGTGCAGAGAGACCGCAGCACCGGAGCCTCGGCTGCACCGACGCACGCGCCCGCCAGGCCGGCGCATCCTCCGCCGCCCACTAGGGTTGGCCGGCCCTGGGGAGGGGAGAGAATGGCCGGGGCCAGCGCTTGGACTGATGGCCTTGCGGACCTCGCTGCTCTCGGGGGACAAGGCGGCAGATTTCCCGTAGAACTTCCCTCTCGCATCCCCCTGGCCCCGCGGCGACCGAAGAGTACTCTTGGGGTTCGGCTTTCTTCTGCGATTTAAGTGTTATTTGAAACAGCTCCCTGCGCGGCCCTTTTCTCCTAAACTTTGACAGAAACTTTCCTTTGTCCCTACCAATCCTCAGTGAGTTCTTTAGAGGAGTCTTTAGAGACAGTTTGTAGATACGGGCTTATTGGCTTTACCCTGTCCTACCAAAGTTAGGACTGTCCCTGACGTGATTGGCCCGCACCTGCCTAACAGCCTAACAATGGAGGTTTAATTATGCTTCTATAGTAAGACACCTCTAAAAAAAAAAAAAGAAGAAGAAAGTAAAACACGCTTTACGTTTTACCTGCTATCTCTACGGGTTTACTGGCTTCTTAATACAATATGCTTGTGTAGCAAGGTGAGCAAATTTCACCAAATGTCATTGTAAATAGTCCCAGCCTAAAAGGAATTAAACTCTGGAACCAATGTACATAGAAGCCCCTGAGCTGACGCCATTCTAGATGTAGCACCAGATGGTTTGCGATGTATGGAATTTAAAAGCAGTCACTTCTACCTGAATTGTGATGAAAGTAGTGTGCCTGAACATGCTGGGAAAGTGTGCTACCCTGTTTTATATTAGAAACCAGTTTCCAAGGAAATTGAAAAGTAAATTTTCGGACTTGACATTAAAAACACTTCCATCTCGTTCTTACAGGAGGTACAAAAGCATTTTGGACAACTAAAGCCAGGAGTTTCTTCCCCTTTGCTAGAATATTTTCCCTCCATTTAACAATAGTACTATTGTGCTAAATAAAATTTACTTAATACACTACTCTTAAATTCTCAAAACAATAAGTAAGGGCATTACAAACCTTGTATTATCTCTGTTGTGTCAAGGAAACAAAAGGGTTCATTTGAGCAGTCCTGCAAAAATTCAAGAAAAACTGATTTTACTCAATTTAGCTTATTGAAGCAAAGTAGTTTTTCTGTTATTTTAATCCGAATTTTGTACATCACGTCCACATTGCTGGACCAGCAAAATTCTGACCTCTGCAATACAATATAATGTGTTACTGGTATTAACAGATTAAGCCAGAAATAGAAAACTAGTTTGCAAATCCTACCTGGACTGAGGTATCAAAGGAAACCAAGAGATAGTAGAGACAATGAGGAACCTGGAAAAAGATTCTGTTGCAACCTGTAAATAAGAAAACAGAGAAAGAGGCTCATTAATATTTAAGATACCAGCTGGTGAATTAAAACTGTAGTGTGCTTGTCTGGCTTCAGTATTCAGTTTTATTCACCACATGTTTTTCTGTTTACTAGAAGCAAGGCATTTCACTTATTTTAAAGGTGATAAATTAAGTGTTGACACTTGAGATTTGGACCAATCTGTGATATGACTTGGATATGCCTTTAGCATTCAGAAATGTGTCTGCAGACTTAAGAGCAAACCAAAGTACTACCTCTTCCAATGGCTCCCTAATTTTCTCAGCCAGAGTCTTCTGCAACCTAAAAATCTTATGCTAGCTGGCCTCCTAAGTCCTACCTCACCTCCACCCTTCTGACCTCATTTCTGCTGAGAGCTTAGTTCCAGCTACACAGACATACTCCCTGCTTCTATAACACCAAGACATCTTCTTGCCCTGAGGCCCTTGCACTGTGTGTAGTTTCTATCTGGAAAGATCTTTCCACCAAATACCCTCATGGCTAGATCATCCTCTTCGGTCCAATCTTTGCTTAAAAGTCATCTTTTTTCAAAGAAGCCTACCCTAATCATCTCATTTAAAATATTGCCCCTTCCCCAGCATCCTCCCTTCCTTGCTTGTTTTTTTCATAGTACTTACCTTCTGACATCGTCATTTTGTATTTTTATTTTCTCTTGCCTTCCTTCTGCTAGAATGTAAGCTCCACAAGATCACTGACTTTTTTTTTTTTTTTTTTTGCATTTTGTTCACTGATGTTTCCTTAGTACCTAAAATACTAAAATAGTAGATGGCACAGAGTAGATGCTCAATAAATATTTCTTAAATGAATAAATGAATGGATGAGTCATTGCCTAAAAGACACCAAAAGGAAAACACCTAATTAAAACCATTTAAAAAACAAAGGCTTTGGTGTTGAAACATTAAATTATTTAAAAATTGGCCATTGTGTGTTATCTTGCAATTAACAGGAACATCACTTCTACTGCCACTAGAATGTTGGAGGAAAGTATGCTAGAGAAGTTTATGACAGAATTGTGAGCTATGTCTTTTCCTTCACCTTTTTTCTTTTTTTAAACTTTTGTAGAGATGTGGTCTTGCTGTGTTGCCAGACTATACTCTGGCAACTGGCCTTAAGTCAGACTACTCTCTGGACTCCTGGCCTTAAGGATCCTCAGGCCTTGACCTCCCAAAGTGCTGGGATTGCAGGCATGAGCCGCCACACCTGGCCTCCTTCACTTTCTTGGATACATCTCGAGCTTGAGTCAAAGTTAACTCGCTAGTAAGGGAAACAACAAAGTGAATAAGGTATACTATTTCAGAGAAGTATAGATATTAAGGAGTTATATAGTTGGAAAAGAGAATGCTTATAGAAACAACTAGCTCATAAAAAAAAAAAAAATGAGCACCTAATTTGATACAGATTGCAATTTCATTCCATGTCTTAAAAACATCCTATTCATATCAGTTGTTAGAGAGGAAATCTGGGAAAGGGTGATCTGAGATGACTGGTTCTTCGGCTGTCAGAAATTAAACAAAACAAAGCCAGCTATCATAAGAAGCACATGATGAGGATGCATCTGTGACTGCTACTGCAAAAGGTTTGATTCCTCAACAGCAGTGTCCAGTCTGTCTGCTTCACACAGGAAAGCATGACAAAAAGAGGTAAGAGGCAAAAATCAGGTGTAAGATGCTTTTAAATAAGCCACTGCCAGTGATTTTTAAACCTACAAGCCAAGATTCGGCCTATCCAAGTTACCTGTTTTTCAGTTTTGAAACAAAAACCATTCTACACATTCAGATTGTCTCAAATTGGCTCTAGTTACTTTTTGAAAAACAGGAAAAGTATGCCTTTAACCTCCTAGGAAAATTGTGTCTAGCAAACAGTTGTCTCATTTAATCTTTTGATATTTTAAAACATTCTGTTAACTCCAGTTTCTTCATAATGCAACATTACCAGTATCATCTACCATCTCTATTGAACATTAAATACTATATGCTCATTAACAAGGACTGGTGTCAAAGCCTGCAAATTGGTATTGAAATAATGTGTTGGCAGCAGAGGAGACAGCCTAAGAACAGATAGGAGTTGGATATCCCGATTATTTTTTACAGTTTTAATAGGGCAGTAGTAAGCAGAAATCTCAGCGCATTTAAGAGTACTCTGAAGTCTAGCCCAGCAGGTACTTTTTTTCTTGCATGATACTTTTTGAGGCGTTGTTGAGCCAACTCAAGACGGAAAGACAGAAGCAGAAATACAAGCCTTTACTAACAAATGCAGCCATAACAAAATAATAACATACACAAATCTCTTGAATATTAGAGATCTCCACGATGCAAAGATCTAAATAGAAAAGACCGTATTATAAATTTGTAACAAAGTCTGTCAAATAAGAGGTATTACTACATCAATGACACCTCAAGCCAATCACTTTGAAAGCAAAAAATTAGAGCACTTTTCAAACATTTAATCTTAATTATGGATACTGTTTTTCAGTATCTATTATGGGCCAGGCACTGGTGGTAGACATTTTGCATGTATGTAAAATACATTGCACTTAACATTGGAAAAATGCCATTACAGTAGATCTTACTATCCTAGAAGCCACTAGAGTTTTAGAAATTTGCCCCATATTACTTATCAAGGATTCATACTATCAACATGATTTTTTAGTGGTGATGTTTACTGTCATCACCTGAACAAGATAGTGTTTGTCAAATTTTTCCACTGTAAAGTTACCATTTTCCCCTCTTTCTATGCTATCCCCCTTGGATAGAAGTCACTACTTGTGGCCCACAGTTAAAGAGTGAGGATTTCTGCTCCTCCTCTTGCTGGTGGAATATGTAGATAAAATATGTGGAATTTCTTTTTTTGCATAGGAGATTTGTCTTTTCTCCCTTTTTATTTTATTGTTTATTTATGTGAGTATGGACACACAGATATTTCTTTTATGCTTTGAGTTCTAATCTAATAATCCTTTATTTTGTTGTTCAAATTGTCCCAGCTTTGGCCACTGGAGCTCTCATGGTTGTCCTATTTACTTTTAATATACTCCCATTAATGTGGTATGAATATTTGTTTGGTTAGTTTTTTTTTAAGCACATCCTTAACTCCTATACTATAAGATGCTCTGGGGTCATCATGCCCCAGGCCTAGAATCAGCCATTTCTTTCAGAAATCATGGTTCCTTTTATTGGAGAATGGTGTCAGAAACCAAAATCTAGGCTCAAGAAGTGCTATTTGCTGCTTGGGGTGTCATTTCTTTTAAGACCTGGTAGCTAATAGCTAGTAATTAAATACCTGTATACTAACCCATGTATATATAACTATGTATAAATATTTCTGCAAGTAATCATCAGTATTTATATTAAGCTAAACATGAATTCATACTGATATCTCTAACTCTAATCCACTGTCAGATGGACCATTCTTTTCTCTT